GACGATAAGTCTGGTCTTGCCATTTACGCTAATCTTGTTTTGAAGATTATGAATGTTTAAGAAGATAACTAATTCCTTGAACAATACCCTTTCTTGAGAGGCTGACCGAGTGTCGTCAGATAAATAAAAAAAAAAAAAACACGTCCTTTATTCAACCAAAAGGTTCATTACCGTGTTCACAAAAGTCGGCCACTTTACACTACCCTAAGCTAGACTAATCAAGTCCTTACTCTCACTCCCTCTGCCTTGAAATTCACATCGAATGTCATCCTCTCATCTGCGTCGGTGTCTCCCAACGGTTCTCTTTCCTTCAGGTTTCCAATTAAAAGAGTTTTGCTTTCCTCTGTTCCTTCTCTTCCTTTTCCTTGTTATTCATTTTATGCACTTCCTTTCCTTCTGTTTCTTATTCCCCCTTTCTTTCCTTAATTCTCTACTATTATACCTTCCACTGTTATCTCCCACTTCCCATTTCTTTACCTTGTCTCAATTGCTTCGTTTACAGTTCTATCTCCTTCTTTCCTTCATATTATCACTTCTCTTATCTATTATTCTTAGCCCCTTTGGTCTTATTTTTTCCTTATCCTGGATATCGGCTCTTCTGACAGGCTCTTGGAAGAGGTTTTGAAACTGCTTTGTTTCCACGCGCTTCCCAATTCGTCATTCAAACTGTCCTACAATTGGGTGCTGTAGGCCCTGTAGGCCTATAGTTATGTGGTTACTGAGTGTCTGAAACCTCCGTGAGGGTGCAGCAGCAGCTAGTGATGACGTTGATCGTCAGGTGATTAGATACCTTAGATACTATTTTCAACACAAGATGGGATCCAATATTGTCACACCGGAAACGTCGTTGAACAGACAGGACACTTCTTCCGTACCGTTGTCCCTCAGGGTATGACGTACTTTGAAAAGTATTTCAGACGAAGAATAAGAGAGCGCCGCTGAATAACTCAAGAAAGAAAGAAAACACAGTTTTTCTTAAGCAATTGTATGCGTACCAGTACATTGCATTGAATTTATATGCATTATGGGTCAGGGGTCGTGACTCCCGAAACATTAGTTGAACTGTTTTGTACTGTCTTCCCTGAAGCATTACTTCCGGAAGCAGTTAGGTAGGCCGCACATAGGCATGCGTCAAGACATGCAACAGTCAAGACACGATTTCTGCGACGTGACTCAGACCGGTGTGCAGCGGTTTTCATAATCTCATTCGTTACAACTGTGCTCCTTTCTTTGCGTCATGTCGCAGACATCGTGTCTTAACTGTTGCATGTCTTGACACATGCAGTGTGCGGCTTACCTTAGCTGACTTCCACTTAGATTGAATTACCTTAAGGGCAGATGTTACTCGAGTAGTCTGTTACAAAATGAGCTGTATCAACTGCAGATGATCAGATGAAACAAAAATTAAGTGCATTTACCTGGAAAATACTGGGAGGAAAAAAGTACTCTTATGGCAACTGCCCGAAGGACTGAAGAAAAGAACGAAAAAGTTAGAAAAGCCGATGCGCTAGCCGAGAGTCGCTCAGTTTATCTTCAGAAGACAAGTCAGCAGCGTATTCCTTCGATCAGTATTATTGTTATCTCAGCGTTAATTTCGCGACTTTTGTTCTATGGTGAGACGGCCATGTGTTTTGTTTGCACGATGTAACAGTGCGTGTACTTATTAGCGCTGTCGGCCACGCCATAGCTCAAGAGGTTAGTCTCTGGCTTCCCACCGCGGCGGCCCGGGTTCGATCCCGGATCTGGTCAAGTGGGATTTGTGGTGGACAAAGTGACGCTGGGGCAGGTTTTCTCCAAGTACTTCGGTTTCCTCTGCCAATCTTTATTCCACCAATTGCTCCACAATCACCCTCACCTATCATCTGGGGCTGGTACAATAGGCCAGAAGTGGCCGCAGTGCAAGGGACTTAGTACCACTCCACTAGCAATAAAAAAAAAAAAACATTAACGCTGTTTCGGTCACCACTGTGACAATCATGAAACACACTCCTTCGTATTGCCTGTGATCTGGTGCACCATTAACACCTGTATTCCCTTACCTCTTGTTGAGTGAAACACAAATTAAAAGTTTTCAAGAATAAAATTCATGTTGTTATCACTTGGAAGTTGATGAAATTGGTAATTCTCGTCGTTCCTTGTGTCCCTGGTGCATTTGTGTTGCTGTTTTCTCTTGTGCCTCTTAGCTGAAATGTGCACTGTTGTGTGTAACTTGTTGGTACTGTATACTTATAGGAATGGCCATCGTAATTTACGAATATGTCCCTGTACGTAATCCCCCAAAGCTGTCTCCACCTTGTCGTGGTGGTGGGGCTTGCGTGACTGTGACCTGGAGAGCTATGCCGGCCGTAGTTTAACTACCAGTAGTGTCATCCATGCCGGAAATGTCAAAGGGTAGAGTCCAGAATAAGGGATATACCCTTGTCCTCCAGGTTGGGGGTTGGCCATGAGGCTAACAACCTCATCCTGTAAAGGGAATTTTGTTCAGAAACCCAACAACCAGTCTCGGGTCATCATGCGTGGGTCCATTCCTATGGCAGAATGCACTGGTTGTGGAGACTGGTTGTAGAGGAGTCCAAGGCTGTAGTGCCGAGTGGTTTGGTAGGTAGGTAGGTAGATAGTTTAACGGAACTTTGCACCTTGCCTTGTTAAAACTCAGTTTTTACTCATCGTCCACACACGTTGGTCGCACTTGTAGATACGTACTTCTTTCTTGTACTACTTGTAATAATGATCACAGGGTTGTTTATTTTATATCTCAGGATTAATTAATTTAGAAGGAGGTGAGGGTTGTTGATTCGGTAGAGCTGAGGGTCTCTTTATCTCAGAGCCTTGAACGGGCCACAACTCAGAGAAGCAGGAAAGTACACAACGCTACACTAACACTTTGTCAAGTTTAGTTGATTTATTATTGTTGAACACTTGTTGAGCCACTTCTTAATTCAACTTCGAAATCAGTGACTTTAGCTCATTTGTCGGCACACACACATACAATCAAGTATATCAAGTTCCGATAGTTTATTGTTAAACATTTATGCCCTTTGTTACACAATTTAATATTTCTTTCAACTTGCTTAACTTTGTATATATTGTGACGTGGATGGTGCAACAGGAAGTAGGGGTCACGTGAACTCTGCAGTCTCGCGAGTGACGTCACATACCCCCACTCTTTCCCTCATTACGCAACGCTCGGTAAACACCCCTCCCCCGCGGTGACGTAACAGCACTTCCCACAGGACACCGCGGTTACTATACAGCAATAAACAACTCTCGGCAGCGTTATCAAGCAACGCCTGTAAACACGGCGATTACGCAACAAGGAAGCGAGGTGCGTTTTCCACTGTCCGACTGAAGGTTTTTAAGAGAGACTGGAATGCGACTGACAAATGACGGACCCGACCTCTCGTCAGAGAGGGCGCCCCAAATGGACAGGACAGTAACTTTCATGTAAGGAAAAAAGGCACCAAGACAGACTGACGGACCGTCAGTCACAATGTGACTTGGACTTGGACTTGGACTAAGCAGTTAGTTGAAATAGAGCAGCAGTCGCGGAAAGAAGAACTGAACGCGTGGTTAGAAGATTTTATAGTGCGCGATAACTGAGAAGTCAGCCAGTGAGGACTTGCTGTGTGCCTTCAAGACTTTGTGTGTGCGGTAATACAGTTATATTTGGGAGTGTGTAATTCACAGAGACTTGTATAGCTCCCGCGCTATAAATACGTAAAGACTTCTGAGGGTAGAGTGAATAGAATAGTGTGTAGGGTTTGTACTCGTAAATTGTGTAAACCCGCATCAGTGTTATAATTAATTGTAGCTACGACTTGTAGGTTGTTAAATAAACGAATTAACAATCCGAACGTTGTCTTCAGTAGCAAAACACGTTACAATATCTTTCTTTGATTCACAACACTTTATGCTTGTAGACTTCTTACTAGTTATTACTTTCAACTGAATATCACAAGTTTAATTCTGTATGCAAAGAGAGCGGTGAGTGACTAACACTAATTTTACGTCTGATCTCTACGAGGGCCGGTGTGTAAGTGACTTCGACAACTGACTTCCCTTCGAACCATCAAGTCCTTGTTCCATCAGCGTCTTTGCTCTGTCACACCCTTAAATTTTAGTGCTTGGTTACATTTGAAAAATAGGAGTATCTTAATTAGCTATTCTTCCAGTCTGTTTAAGGATTACAAGGAGTTTAGGTTTCTAAGCGCTAATGTACTTTCTGTCAGAATCTTGACAAATGTTAAGCTTGGCTTGGGTTCTCGAAATTTCTTCGTTTAAGTTACGACATGCACAGGCTGTCAAGTATCGAATTTTAAAAGACTCCCGCAGTTACACTTTCAAGTTAAATTTCTTAAAAAATATCCACGGAGTTTCTTCCTGTTCTTCTGCACGTGTGAGAAGACTCTAATTCCTACATGCAAGAATAGACCTATGTCTCACTGCACTTGTTCATTGCATCCCATTGTGAACAATTAAAATTTCTAATTAATAAAATTAATTACATTTAAATGGTTGCATGGCAGTGGTGCGGTTACAGTAGATAGGTAGGTAGGTAGGTACTTGTGCTTAATGTGTAGTGTTCGTGTTTAATGGCTCAAGACTACGAATGTTTATTGTCATGTTGAGTTTGGGGGTTTTGCTGCTATCCAGTGCAAAGATGACTTAGATTTCCAAATACTGGATTGTGAGTGTGTATGCAATTGCCATTCGTGTGTAAATTGTTCTTACTGTTCAAATGAGTGTGGTATTTCTCTAGGCTGTGCAAATATCTCAACTTTATTTCTGTTTTATGACGTCCACGGTGTTTGCTGTGGTTCTGTGTTCTGTGTTGAATCTGCATTACGTAGTTCTCAGAAAATGTCATTAATGGTATGTTGATTGTTGGATTCGCTGTGCATTATTTAAATAAGCTGTAACACAAATGACCCTTAATGACTATATTAGAAGTTGTAGCTTAGTCACTAGTTATGTAATGTTTTTACCAAGTATTTATAAGAAGTTTTGAAGGAAAACCCGAAGGAAGGTGATCGCAAAGGAAACCTATGTGTAGAGAGGTGGAGAATGTTGAAGTGGATGCAAAGGACAAGACTCTAAGACTGAGAACTGGAATAATCTAGCTCAGACACGGGACCTTTTGAACACAGTAATGAACCTCTACGTTCTATAAAGAGAGGGAAATTTAATTACTTGTTGAGCAATTGTTAGCGTCTCAAGAAGGAATTATGCATGAGGTATGTAATTACACTGAACATGATATACTAGGTGTAGAGACATTGCTTCTTGTTTTGCAACGATGAAGGCGCCTGCCCTCATGCCAGAGGTCTACATGACAAGAAGTTCCACATATATTCCAACACGTGATAATAATTCTATATTTCACTGTTCCACCTTCATCCTTCGGAGTGCCTGCTTTTGGTGAGCTCCATTCTGACAAGCAGACGCTTCTGACACCTAGGTTTGCGAAGTAAGCTAATCTGATTTATTAGTACATAACCCTCAAACATAATCCACTCTGATTACACAGTATTTTTCTCTCTATGTGTTAGGTGTAAATAATGATTTAAGCACGCCTTCTATAGTCAGTTCTGAGCGCAAATTTCCCTGATCAAGTGACGTCTCTGTGCCAGGAGGCAGCGTCACAATGAGTGCGGAATGCGAGCACATCAAAGACACTCGCTCTGAGAGATTGGAGTCCTTTAGGATACTTTAGTCACCCACATGTTGGCCTAATTCTTCTTGTATTTACGCTTTTCAGCAGGCAGACAATTGATTAGTTGCAGTAACATTCTAACAGCACGTAGTTACTCTGCTGAGTTGACGAAAATGTGTACGTGTGAGTCAGTATGTTGTAATGAAACAATCAAAACACATTGCAGCAACATGCGACAGATCAGGGGTGAAACATACCTCACAAAACATTGTTTTGTTTCGACAGAGATCTGAGGTGGTCTCGAGTATTAGCAATTCACGGGTCAAACTACGTTGGAATGTTTTTGGCAGCGGTATATAACAATAAACATGACTACATTCTGAACACTGTCCAGCACTGCATTTTTTTCAACAACAGCTTTTTGGAAACAATGCATTTCCGTCATCAACCGCAAGGGAGAGGAGGTTCATACCCAGAAGGGCCTTTTGAAAACAACCATCTTGATTACCGATCAGCCATAATTGTTTCTTACAAAGTTAGTAGATATGTTTATAATCTACCCACACATTAGGTGTAATTGCTGTCAAACGGAAAGCTGAATATAGTCATCGCGTGGCCACCATATTGTTTGGTTACGTTCTCCAAAATGAACATTCTAATAAAAGTTGTGCTTTTTACTACGTAAACATTTCAGGATACGATGTTAGTGATACTAATATTGTCCCTGGGTCAGAAATACTCACGACTCGAGAGTTGATATTGCTATTGAATTAAATAAAAAGCGCAAGGGTTACGTCATACGAAGTTTAATGAAAATCCGTTAAGATAACTTCATGAATTGAAGCTTTCACAATGACTAAAGTAATAAAATCTTCTAGAGAAGGTTCCAGGTGGTTAGTCAGTTAATTAGTGTTTCGCCGGATACAACTGTCGAACGAGGAGGTTTAGCTAGGAAGAGATGCATTTATGTTATCAAACCACAGTCTGTGTGTTAACATATCAAAAGCCTCTGAAATTACTTCATAAGTGCGGTAAAGCATACAGTGATTTACAGTATTTTTCAGTTATACTGTGGAATTTTCCTACAGGCCTAGCCTTTCACACGATAGAGAGTCTGTCTATCATTAGAACTGCATGTGACTGGCACCACTTAATTGGCGGCCAGACACCTCATCAAGTTTATTTTTGTGGAGATGACACTTTAATCAAAAATGAAAATTTCCACGTAACTCTCAAAATAAAAGAAACGTAAAAATGGTGCGTGAGATGGCAAAACAGTGCGCCAGTAGTGTTGATTGCAAGTAATGCTAATTCTACTAATAGGTGCATATGCTAACAATAGTCTCTTTCATTATTTACGTAGTTATAGTACTGGATATTATGATTGCACTGCGGGTACGTGAAGCAGAGACCCTAGTGTACGTACGTGTTTGAAAGTTTAATGTGAATGAGGTCGAGACTTTGCGCACCCCTATGTGCTGAATGAAGCGCTTTTAATGGCTGTGGGTTGAGAGACGGTGGTTTTGTGTTCTGACTGCAGTTTGAAACCATGACAACGACTCGGGTGATCATGTCGTATCAGTGGAGTGCCGGGAACGGCGAGAAGCCTGGTATGCTCGGCCTGAGGGAAGAAGTGGCCCAGGTGGCCAACCGCGAGCTCAGGGAGAACAAGTCCATCCGCGAGCAAAGTTTGCAGCAGTTTCGCGAATGGATCCGCAAGAACCAGGACATCTGCAGTTGCAGGACAGGTAACCACTTCACCGATAAGTCGGGTTACTTAAGAGTGGAAAGGAGGAACTTACATATCAAGGAACTGTTTAGTTTTCATAAATTGCCAAGTATTAGCTACCGGCACACCAAGGAAACTGGCAACCGCAACGCAACCGCAATTTCCGAGAATTATTATCAGCCTGAGTTGAACATATGTTACTGAATATTGAATATTATATATAATATATATAATATAATATATAATTTTATATATATATATATAATTTGAATATTATCCTCTCATCCAAACCTAGGTCTGTCAAGTGATTTCTTTTCTTGATATTTTCAGACTAATATCGTATATTGATGTCTCAGGTCCCATCAGTTCTACATTTCATACCTGTCTATTCTACCTTGATTTAACGAGAAGTTCTTGGAAGAAATAACCGTCTACTTTCTTTTGAAATAACGCGGACCACATAGAAAAAGACGCGTCCAAACAATACTTCTATTGTTGCATGTGTATTCATTGCCGCTGTAACGTTTGTTACATATACAGACACAGGTTGAGCGGACGGATTTATGAACTGTGCCTCTGGGGTTGGATTCGGATGCGAATCATACAAATACGAAGTTTCATAAAATTGGTTCAGGCTTTCAAAATTAATACGAGAGGAGCCACAGACACACAAAGAGCATGCTGGTCTCGTATGCCCATCTTTATTTTTTCAAATTAAGGAAAGTAGCATATGAGCCGCGGTAACACCTGACAGAGACTATAAATTATGAAGAGCCTCTTGATGCAATTTTCTTCAACCTCCAGGTATCCAAATATTTCTCAGCACTTCATATGTCTGTCTGTGTTTACTTATAAGTTTGTGAACGTATGACTCATCTACTGAGACCTAAGGAAGTTTCTGAAGAAAATAATTGCACTGGAATTCAAGTAATCTGTATTTGAGTCCGTCCACAAGTTAAAACATATAGTATGTGCATGTATAGGTTAGTCGCTGGCTTCCCACCGCCGCGGCCCGGGTTCGATACCGGGGTCTGTTCAAGTGGGATTTGTGGTAGACAAAGAGGCGCTGGGGCGGGTTTTCTCCGAGTACTTCGGTTTCCCCTGCCAATCTTCATTCCACCAAATTCTACATTATAATCACCTGGGGCAGGTACAATAGGCCAATCAGTGGCTGCCGTGCCGAGTGGACTCCACCCCCCACTAAGAGAAATATGCATGTATATATGTATATTGTTTTGTAACAAAAGAACAGCCAAGCATATATATATATATATTTCAAAATGATTTCAGTCAATTAAAAGGCTGTCAACACCTTCATCCATATTCCTCACACTTTCAGAAGATGTCAAGAAGAATTTGGTGAAGACCTATCTTTTTCATTAGGTCACATAAAAATAATAAAACTTTTTGTATGCCTAGATCCCACTAGGAAGACCTAGATGTAGTTGGGAGGATGATATTAAAATTGGTCTTACAGAAATAGCATGAGGTGATATGGTCTGGATTGATCTGGCTCAGGATAGGGACCAGTGGAGGGTTCTTGTGAACGTGGTAATGAACCTCCGGGTTCCTCAAAATTTTGAGAAATTCTTAGGTAGTCGAACGACAGGTGACTTCTCCATAAGAACTTGGCTGGTTGAAGTTAGTTAGTTAGTTAGTTAGTCAGTCAGTTAGTTAGTTAGTTAGTTAGTAGGCTTAGATCTGTTTCATCCGTAGGCTTTGATTGTATTGCCATAACTTGTAAGTGCCTTGAATTCCAATGCAGCTACGTATTTCCAAAGACAGGCATGTGTGAAGCATGTGTCCTTCACTATAAGAAAATTATATATAATATACAGCTGTTGAGTATTCTCTTCATTCACTAAATAGTCCTGAGGGCGAAACCAAGGGAATTGTGTTGCTACAGTAGATTACATCACAAAGTTGTATTTCCAGGTGTAGATGTATGGCTGAGGCTCAAGGATCAGATCCATCACCCATTTTGAATTTCATGGTAACAACTTCAGTGTAATGTTTCTGAGAGAACGTGAACAACAGAGAGGCAATCAGCTGTGGTCTTTTCATTTGGATTCTAATATTTGTTGAATTTCAAATTTTATAGGTTTTCAGTGAGAGGGATGCAACCATTTCCCAGATCTCCACTTAAATTTTTAGTTCACCATGCAATCCATGGTAGAAATAGAGCTCCATTGTTTCACTTTCAGAAATACTAATCCTCCAATTAAGAGGAGGTGAGGCAAGTGCCGAGTAGACCTAACTAACCTTGGCTATTCTACTTCATTTAGGGACACAATGAGTTTCAGTGTACCAATGGCAATGGTAAGATTTATCAAAAAATCAGGCTGATGTTTTCAGTTTGAATAGTATATGTGAACGTGCATTGGTAATTGCCTCACTTTATCATCTTTGGGGGACCTTATTTAGTTAATACTCCTAAGTATAACAGACACTATTCCAATAAATAAACTTTAGCAGTGCTTAATGTTTTATGCATTCTTTAAAAACACTCTAAATTAGAAAAATGTAAATTGGGGCCAAGTATAGTGAATTTGGCTGCCAGTTGCATGCACAACATGTCTATGGAACATACAGTTCTCTATATTGTGTATTTTTTGTTTCCAGATGACAATTTTCTTCTGCGCTTCCTACGTGTCAAGAAATTCAGCTTACCCATGGCACAACAAGTGTTACTGAAATATATCAATTTTCGACAGACATTCTCACATTTGCTGTACAATTTGGACTATCTTATCCCCTCTGTCAATGAGCTCATCAGCAGTGGGTTAGTTATGTTTCATTAACCCTCTGCACCTGACTTAAAAACACATGAATCCCTAGAGCCCTGCTTCATAGGCCACAATGTAATTATATATGTTGTCTGTCTGTGTGTGCGTGTGTGTGTTTGTTTATATAGGTTTACCTACAGTTGTGTTATTATGGCACACAACAGTACAACATACCGACAAATTCTTCAACAAAGTACCAAAATAAAAAATTAGAGATCTGTTCTAAATGCAAGGGAATAGGGACAGATGAAAGAGGGATAAACTTTTTAATTTAGCCCTTTACAGCCCAGTGGTTACTATATGAACCACCTGCTATAACATAATAACTCTCTGCATTCTGTCCACAGAGTGCATTTATGTGTTTCATATGGTTCTCACAGTAAACAGTGTCTGTTTCCCCAAGCAGCATTAACCAGGAGGTCTTTGTAGTGGTGACATGTTTCCTGTGAGGTACAAACTGAATTTTTAAATACAAGAAATTCAGTCTTGAAAGGGTTAATTGCGTTTTTCAGTGATTTACAAGGTCCTGCCCCTTCCATCTGCTACACTTGAGTACCAGCTCCTTTTCTTACAGGAGAAAAACTAATCTTTGTAAACATCAGAAATTACATTTATTGACCAATAATGTGTTTATTTTGGCATAATCATATATAAATTGTCAATTATGAGCCGGGATAATGTAGTCGGTATAACAACTAGCTATGGACTGGATGACCAAGGGGTTGGAGTTCGAGTCCCAGTTGGATCAAGAATTTTCTCTTCTCCAAATTGTCCAGACCAGCTCTGGGGTCCACCCAACCTCCTATCCAATGGGTACCAGGGTTCTTTCCCTCGGGGTAAAGCGGCCAGCCCTTGAAGCTGACCACTCACCTCCAAGTAGTGCCAAAGTCAAGAGAATGTGGATCTATACATCCACTCCCCCATACACCTTCATGGCATAGTGGTAGTGTTTAATTAGTTAAGCACAGGGAAAACTTTACCTTTTTAATTGTCAAGTATATTTGAAGAATTCTATTCATATATGTGACATTAGTGATTTGAAAATAATGATTTCCTGTAGTCTGGAGTTCAGTGGTTTGGAGACAGTGGTGGTTCACTAGTCAGATTGTTTAAAAATCAATCAGTATTTTCTGGGATGCAGGATACATAACTTCCTAAGTACTGTGCCACCGCTGAACAGTTGTGAATTGTTCTCAAGTTCTGGATAAACTGGAAATTCAGTATGAAGGCAATTGAAACATAAGCATGTGAGTTGCTGTCTATTTCTGATCCAACAAAGAAAGACTCCTGTACCATCCCTTTCTGCATCCTTAACTGAATGACTTGCAACAATACATCAGCACCCTGCCTACACAATTTACAATTTCCTCATTTTTCACAGTGCCACTCACAAGAATTTCATACTTATATGTCCAATGTGGCCTTGATACATCATGAGTTCAAAGCAAGATGCGTGTTTACTATGACAAAAAAAGCGAACTTAAAATACTGTACTGGTTGGGAGGCTGGTTAATTGCCTTATTTCAGAAGACAGACAGTACTAAAGGCACCTGATTAACTTAATATAAAGGAAGTAAAAAAGTTCTGGAAATACAAATTATTAAAATAAGGAAAGAGTGTGAGCATTAAACTAGAAAACTAATGGAGTACAGTCATCTACACATTGGGTAAACGTCAAGGAATCATTTTCCATTGAACAAACAAAAAACTGACAAACATTATTCCAAATCAAAAAATTTGATGGCAACCATAATTAAATACAACGTTTTCACCACAAAATAACTAACCTGCTCATATAACTAATCTGAAGCATCCATTTGCTCAGTTTTAGCAATAAGAACTGTGAAATTATAATAAAGGAAATTCCAACTAATATGTCATTTTCACTTAACTAAAAATTTGTATTTCTTTAGGCTATAACTGGTATTTTGAAGACATATTATGTAACAGAAGTTTTTGAAGATGTTTTATAATTTTATAATTCAGCTGTTTGTTTGTTTCCTCTTCTGTTGTATACAACTACAATTTATTATTGCTACTTTCAAAGATTACAAGCTATTTTTAAGCATGTTTTATATGTATACATAGTTAAATAATGATTTAAACTTTGAAAACACATGTCTGACTATTACTATTACCATTGTTTTTCAGGTATATGTATGTTTCACCCTACAGGGATAGTAGTGGTCGTCGAGTGATACTCTACAATATAAGTAAGTTAATGATAAAGTTATCAAATTAGATTCATAGCAGTGGACACTGTCTTTTGTGAACAGATGGAACATCACATGTACTCATAGAAATACTTCTCCCCCCCTCCAAGATAAAACTTTCAGGAATTATGTTATAAATTTCATACTAGATTTACAAATTGTCATGACCACACAAACCAAATTACATGTAAATATATTAAAATAAGAACAACACCAGCTTTAACAAAAAATATTCTGAGAACAGTACTGAAATTTAAAGAACTCTTATGCAGAAACTGCTAAAATAATAGCCACTTACAAATGCAACTAACAACATACTTGTATCTTTTAGTACTGGTAATACATACCTGTGCTTTTGAATGGAATTTTGATGCTGAATATTTTATCAAAGTTTTTAAATTCGTTCTGGCATTACTGTTGATATATGGATTGTCTGCTGAACAGCATATTCTTGATTTTTTCTTCATGTTCTTGACATAAATTATCTGTTCAAGTAGATGGGAGAAAATATTTTACTCAACATAATTTCAAGATTTATATGCAACACAAACCACTGTATGAAATGATTAAAATGAAGTCTTACTTCAGTATCAGTAAGAACAAATTACTGTAAAAAACTTTCGCCTTGTGTTTCCACATTTTTATCCAGCAAAATATGTTAAACATTTAGCTCAAAGGGCAACAGAGAATGGGTTAAGCCACTTCATACTTTGTAAGATTTGAGGCTTTCATGGCGGTGATTATGAAGAAAGCAGTCTTCTGGGATTTGGCACTGTATATACACCGTGCCAAATCCCAGAAGACTGCTTTCTTCATACATCATACTTAATTAACAATAATGTTAACTACAGAAATATTTGTACTGCAGGTAAATTTGATCCTCATAAATACACCAACGCTGACATGGCAAAGGTGCACCTGATCACTTATGAGGTTCTCATAGAGGATGAGGAGTCACAGGTGATGGGCTTCACACATGTAGGTGACATATGTCAGGCATCAGCAGCTCATGCCACCATCTGGTCGCCTACTGAGTTCACCACACTTGTCAGATGGGGCGAGGTAATCTGAGTCAGCTCAATATAACTGCAATCTGTTTCTGTAATGCAACTTGTATTTCTACCTTGATGCCTTTGCTTTCAAAGAGCCTAACTTCCACAAAGTTTCCATAATGAAATGTTGTGTATCCCCCATTTCCCACATACATTCTATATACTCAACTCATCTTAACTTACTTGACTTTATTATGCAAGAAATATTAACAAAAAATATAAATAATGCATTCCATTGTGAGATTCGATGTTCTCATGGCAGTGATTATGTAGAAAACTGTCTTCTGGGATGTGATTCTATGTAGTTTGGTTGGTAGATACCAACATTTCAAAGGAACTTGTTGTTTCCATCTTAAAGACAAGAAATGTTGCTCTAGGGATTCGTGAAATCAGTTCAATTTCTGTTCATATCTCTTAGTGTGAGACCAGATTTCACAGCCATACACGAAGAAGGATACAAATAGTCATATACAAGGGTTGGAACTTTAATAGTGGCAACTATTTATTTACAACTGATACAAAATAGATGCATGTTTCAGAGTTTTACTGTCCTTCAGTGTAGTTACCAGCATTGTGTACAACCCGTTGCCAGTGATGTGGAGGTTGTAGGATACCTTTAGCAGCACCTGTTGTGTTGATAGTTTGAATGGAGCAGTCTACTTCCTGAAGAATCTCTGGAACAGTTCTGAAGCAAATGCCACGAAGTGGTTCCTTCATCTTAGGAATCAAGTCGAAGTCACAAGG